ATTAGTGCTTTAGAATTAGCTTTTGCTTAAACTTTCAGTGCATTAGTGCTTTAGAATTAGGAGACCTAAATATCTGAGTTAGTGTTTTAGGGCTAGTGGAAGTCATTTTTAGATTAGTGCTGCCCACCACTGGTTTTAGTTTCTCAGTAAAAACTCATTCTTTCATTTTGAAATCAGTTCTCCAAAACAACCACTGATCTAAATCATGACWAAGCTGCTGAAACGTTTTGGATTTATGAAGCAGCCGTGATGGAAAGAGACGAAACAGAAGCTGCAGTAAACCCAGTGAGTCAGACACTGGTTGTTATGGAGATTACCGCCAGTCGGACAGGAAAACTAAAAACACTCAGTTTTGTGAAAACTACTAAACGAAAAGTCCTAAATGGCAGAAGCTTCTAATATGTATATTTATCTGTCAACAATGCATTATTTTAGATATGAGAAGTTAAAACTGAGTCATTTARAGCTCAGAAAGAGGAAACAGTTTAGATGTTTACATTCTGAGAAAAAACTGGAAATCCTCCTACAGTAAGAACAAAGTTTGTGAAAACTTTAGAAAGTTCCGACAGCTCAAAATCTGTACCTGGCACAACGACTGATTCTGTTGTAAAATCTCTCAATAAAGAAATAAATAAAACTTAAAGTGAATGTGTAAAAACCATGACTGAACTGAGTTTAAAAACTGTAACGTCAAACAGAAAAAGTGCTTTAATTTTTGTTTGTATGGAAACAAACAAAATGAAATGAACTGAAAAATAAAATTCGGTTTTTTCTTCCGACCTCATCAAAACCTGGAATCTGATTTTTACAGTTTCAAACTTTTTCATCTTCAAACCTGAAACATCAACTCAACCACAAACAAGAATAAACCTTCACCTCATAGCTACTCAGGATTAAAAATATTTTTTTTTACTAAGTAATATAAAATCTGAGCCACTGCTTTTAGCTGACGGCTATTTTTGTAAAAAAAATTTCAGAAAATCAGAGCAGCTTCTTTGGAAACACACAAACATGTTTGTCCTTCATTTTACCAGCATCTTATCTCTTATTTAAACTTTAAATTGGATAATAGCCAACTGTGTCCAGTAAACAAGTTTAATAACCAGTTTAAATCGACTGTAGAGCAGAATTACTTCATTAATTAAGTTTTAAGCACCTGCAGGTCTTATTTTTAAATGCATCTCGTCACACCATAAGATCTGTGCTCAGACTTGAAGAAAAAAATCTAATTTCGATTTAAAAAGCAGCGTTCTGTGACGATGTTAAGAGCAGAAACACATTTAAAGTGTCTAAATTGTCCTGCTTGTGCTTTCAGAGGCAAAGTTTTGATATTTCAATGTTTATAAAACAGTTATAAAATGAGTCTGGGTAAAAATACACGTTACTTGGGAGCTGTGAGTAGTTCTAATTGAAACGTTGAACGATGTCAAACAACGCCTCAGGGTTATTTTGTCACAGCTTGGTGATTATGGAAAACGCTGATTGAAAAAGCTTCTGTGTAATTACAGTAAAATGAATCGATATAAAAACAGGAGCAACAATCAGAAAACACGAACCAGTTCGACCACCGTTCTCACAGACTGGACCCCGTGAGCCTGACTGCTGCTGTGACCTTTCAAGACATTAATGTCTGAACAGACATCATTAACATCCTTGTGTTTAAATGAAAAGTGCTTTCCAAGCTAACCGCTTGGCTCAGCGAACCGTGCACCTCAGAGGTGGATTAAATCCAGCTGGATTAGCCTTACCTTAATTTCTCCGTGCCAGCTTTGTATCTGGAGACTCTGGCCATCAGCAGGGGCAGGCAGACGGCGTCCAGCCAGCGTTTCTCATACTTTGGATCATTAGCTGAGGGCGAAGGGGGTGACTGCGTCTGCGTGGAACACATGAAACAATGCAATGAGYTTCCTGCTGCGCAGCCTTCAGATCACCGGCCATGTGGCCTGGATGATACGTGCCCCCAAAGTCCCATCCTGACCACATTTATTGTCTTGATGTATTCTGAGGCCAACTCGGCCGCCTCGCTGTGGGCTCGTCTTGGTTGAGTTTCTACAAAAACATCTCCATTATTAGCAGGAAAACAAAAAGCCAGACTGGAATTGGTCGRCAGGACTCAAAGGTTCCAGGATCGATGGGAAAACTGGAGATTTTAAATAAAGCGGTCGGCACAGGCCACCAAAATGTTAGCAAAATGTGTAGCATTGAAGCTAACAATAAAAAACTCAAAACAAAATTGGTGAAAGCTATCTAAACCACTAATATTTAACATATCTAGTCCATAATGTGTCAACAAACAAGGCACTCCGTTTAGTCTTCGACCTCACCTCCCTCAATGCAACATGAGAGAAGGTCAGTGATTGTGTCATTTCCAACATCTTTTTCCTGACCAAGTATAAACGGGCTGATGCTTGGGCTGTGCATTGGCAAGAATTTGGCGATACGATACATATCATGACAGAGGGSTCAYRATACRATATATCCCGATATATTRCGATACTGTAAGCAAGGCAATATATTGCAATTTTTCGTCCAAAAATCCTATTAAATGAAAACCTCAATAGAGAAAAAAGGAAAAACCAAAATTCATTGTCTCAGAAAATTCTATCACATAGACATACAGCATTTTGATACATTTAGCTGTGTTCTGCTTTGTATGTGTTTTATTTTATTCGTTTCATATTTCTTATTTCATCCATGTTTTCAATTATTAGACTAAATTTTGCCAATAAATAGTTTGAAAACATATTTTTTGCAGCTTTTAGTTTTTAATGTCAATTTACAAAATGGTCACCCAACACTTAACAAAAGCCTCTACCTCAAGAGGTAGAGGAGCCAAATGGCTGGCTCACTGCTGCCAACTAGTGGTCAGAGGCTGAACTACAACATAAAAGTGAACGGCTGGCAGGAAAGTTGACATTTTAAACCTTAATAAAAAAATCGATACAGGGCTTTAGAATATCGATACAGTATCGGGAAATGAAATATCACGATATTTCAGTGTRTCGATATTTTCTTACACCCCTAGCTGATGCTGGGAGCCATAAATTATAATTCTTCAATGGCTGGAGATTGTGTCTTTTTCTCCCCACTCAATGATTAGTATTGTGCTGGGTGAAGAGTAAAACGGAGTAGTAACTTTTTTAAATTTGTTAACAGTGGTGCTGGAAAAAAAAAGATGTGAACATCTGCATGCTCAGGTTCAAGAGGATCAAACTTTTAACAACTGGCTYCAGACAAAAATCATTTTAAACAAAATAACCTGCAGAAGGAAGAGCTGCTCGGAGTCCAGCTCAGTGCTGCTTTGCTCCTCATGACCAAAACACACTCAAAGTTCTGACCAATCACACGCTCCGAGCCACAAGGTCCGCATCGCACACGACGGCTGTCACCGGGCCACAGCAGCAGGAGAGCGCCAGCCTTTACAGTCAATATATTTCAACACAGAAATCAAACCAAACCTACATGTGTAATGTGACAATGTAAATCAACACAACTCAAAAAGCTTCACAGATCACAGATAAAAACACCGTCTCTTTTAGAGCTGAAATTAGAGACAATTGTTTAAGTAAAGCCAGGAGGCGGAGCTACAACCCAGCTGACTTGAAGCAGGAGGGAAAAAGGCAGCGATGAAAAACAGCATTTTAATGTAACATATGAGCAGAAACGGAATCAAACATTAACACTAAAAAATGAACTTTTGTACACCACAGATTAAAATAAATATGCATCTTCTGTTCACTTTTTTATTTTGGTGCAACAAACTTAAAATGGCTGAATGACGTTCCAGCTGCAAAGGATGCTGGAAAAACTTTTACAATAATTTTGAGWGTGGACATTTTTTTGGTTCAGTTTTGTTTAAAATGTGTTAAAAAGTCTGTTTTTACCTGAAACCACGAGTCAGCAGTTAATGACTTTAATCACAGAACTGTCCTCAGCTCGGGGATGAGGTCACGGTGTGATTCCTGGTGGGGACAGATTGATACRGCTCTTCTTACGGCACAGTTTGCTGGCGCACGTGAAAGTCAACATTACTGAGCRTATTAAGAGCGTGGTGATGTACTTCATAAGATTTTTAGTG